TCTCGGCTGTGCACTCGTTCCCCCTCCTCTCCCCTCCAAAAATAATGAAGCCACGCAAAAGTCCGTTTACTGGGCCCGTTTACGACTTTCGTCAATGATAGTACAAACATCATTGCTGAAATAAAGTAAGAAGCGTCGATGTGGCTGATGCCCACTTTTGTCGCCTGTCCAGAGCTATGGGCCACGGCTACGCGATGCATGGGCTGATATTGTCAGTAGTACGTTTACGTTACCAGGGCGAGAATCTGGGGTAGAGCTAGACGCCCCACATCAGACAGCACTTACGAAATCAATTGATTTCCAAGCAAGAGGAGCAAAATACGAAAAACAAACAGTATCCAACCATGGACCGCTCATCGCACGTATGGTTTCGGCCGTGGTGCTTCTGTATCAAAGCGAGCAAGATGGTGCCCAACCTTGTTACACTGGCTGCAATTTTTCGCATGTGAACATCTGTTCGAGTATTTCTCGGATCCGAACACGATGTGTTCAAATTCAATGGAATGCGGACAAGTTCGCTCATCTCTAGAGCGAAAAAAGAAAGAAAAAGTTCATACGTCGAGATAGGATGCACATGGGCTGGTATGGGCACCATAAAAGTATTAAAACTAGTTGAATGGTGTTTTTGATTTTCTTTTTACATGAACACACTGGAAAACATAGGTAGGAATCAACACCCTTTTTGGGGTATTAATGACTCTTGTGCTTTTGTGCCTTTACAGGGACCATACTAAAAGATTAGCACCCCTCGAAAGGCGGCACGGAAATGCCCCAAAGGTTCTAAATTGTAGTGTCTTTCCAGAGGCATTAAAATTTTGCACCTTTAAAAAGGAACTAAGTCGTACCTTTTTTTTCCCAGTGTATTTAGTATGGCCAAATCGTTATGAAGTTTGTTTGTTTTTTGTTTGAAACTGCCAGGGGTGCCATTTCTTACTCCAATCTTTGATCTTCTTCTTCACGCTGAAGGGCGCCCCGGGCCTCGGCCGTGCTTGAAGATTCTCAAGAAGGTGCGGGAGAGAATTCGCAAGCTCTGCCCTCCGCGTGGATGCACTCCCCTTATCGAGCCTTTTCCTCGCGCCCTCTCTCTGCCGCTCTTCCTCGCCGCTCCATCAACGAGTGCACTCTGACTGAGGTGAGCGCCGGAGAATAAAGTTGAATCCTCGATGAGGCCGTCTCACGCCCGATCGCGCCCACCGTCCTTCTGCTGCGGGTGGGACCTTGCGGAACAGACGAGATCTAGGCAGGGAGTGACCACAGGCAGCCAAGTACTCGCGAAGGATCTCTATTTGCCTTCTTGTATTCCAATATTTCTTGATTCTATCGAGATTTTGTTGACTATCCCTTTCATCATCCCTCAAGGTCTTTCTTCAAGTGCCGGGTGATTCTTTGCGTGCGCGCTCCAGTGTTGCGGGATCGCTTTTTTGCTAGGGCTGCACGGGTCGTAGCGTCTTACGGGCGAAGGAGGGAGTTGGCAAAACCGAAATACAGGAGCGCGGTGAAACCACTTACACGATTGTTTCGGAATTTTTTAGTACCCGGTATCGTTTCGATTTTCCTGGGTTCTCCGAAACTGTGAGGGTGTTCTGTTAAGTGTCAAAATGGCCTAAAAGTTGTTCGTATTCTTGCTTCGTTTCTTTCTTTCACTTTTCTGGATACTCGGACGATGCTGTCTAGACAACCCTTTTTGTTACCTTTCATAATCGAAGGAGGAAAAATCAGAAAAAAATCTTACCTCTAACGCAAGCTTAGTCTTTTTCTTCGTGTGTTTTCGAGAGATGTGTATTTTTCTATCCTGTTTCCGCACTCGGTTACGAGGAAGCTTACCATGCAAAGTGAGCGAGTGGGTGGGACGGCGGGAAGGTCGAGTCAGGTTCACAAAGAAGAACGGCAAAATGCGCAACCCACTTGCGTCAGATTTCCGACTCCGTTGGGTAAGGACGTCCTTACGACAAACGACGTACGCGAGTGCACGACGGTCTCCGCTCAGGCTGCCAAGTGCCTAGGGACTCACGGGCCGGCGCTCTCACACAGATTTGCGTTTGACTGGGAACAGATCAGGGTCTTGGCTTGGCGTTGCCGGCGATACTACTAGAATTCTGTACTAGTACACTGACTTCTAAAAAGTCATGAAGAGCCACGGGTTATCAATGAATAGTCACGTTTCATCAAAACGCCTCTATTGGGTGACGCGGTGACGAATTTACGCGCTGTACACTTTCTTGTGTCTCTCAGAATTCTTAGATACATTATTCGATTTCTGTCAATTTTTCTAATAGAACAAAAAAAAAAGCACAAAAAAAAAACTGAAACAGAAAACATACACTCTCAGCCCGTTACTGACACTTTGCAAATACCCAATGAACTTGCTTGTACAGCAGTAATACTCACAAAATTGCACGTAATACTCATAAATTTAGTTAGTAATACTAATTATTTTGTGAGGAATTACTTAGGAAGATGATGCTAAGTACTTGCTAACAAAATAATTAGTATTACTAACTAAATTTGTGAGTATTACGTGCAATTTTGTGAGTATTACTGCTGTACAAGCAAGTTCATTGTGTATTTGCAAAGTGTCAGTAACGGGCTGAGAGTGTAGTTGGTCCCCGCCATCAACAAAACGCATTCAACCGACACTGTACTCGGGAAAAGCTAACGCCTGTGAAGTGTGGGTTAGGCAGACCCGCACGGCACGCGTGCCTAGCGGGCCTGCCTACCCGAGCGCCCGAGCACCTATCCGAGCCCAGGTCGAAGAGGGGCGCAACTTCGATCTATATAACCGGCAGAGAGAAACCTAGCACGTTTGAAAGTACAAACCGGGTAGGCAGAGGAATGGGTATGAAACAGCAGTAATGGGACACGGAATGCGGTAAATTCGTGGCCCGGGTGGCTCCCTCTCCCTCTCGGTGGTTGGCTGGTCATCGGCCCGGCCCGGCCCAGGTACAGCAGACACCCGTCCTGCCGCCTCGACTGACGGAAATTTAATTAAACGGGCCGACCAGATTGCGGTAGCGGCGCGAGACGGGTCGGGCCCAGTCAGGCTGCTGCTCCCGACAATGGATAGACTGGACAGGCGGGCGGGCCGTGGGGCGGGGCAAGGCTGGCTGGGCTGGCTGTTCCTGGGCGCCACCAGGGCCACCAGGCACATCCATTCTTTATGAATACGGAAGGATGCACGATGCTTTGGCTCCGGCGGGGGAGCCGTTAGCCGTTGGGTCCGGCTATGGGGGGGTCGCCGGGGACGCACCTGATAGACTGGAGCTCGATGTATTATGGGAGAGCAGCGAGGGAATAGCCAAGACGCGCGGTGGGAATATAGGAAATAAAGAAAGCATGTCGTTTACAAATAACCCAACACAGCTGGTGAAAAATACCCCAGTAAATTTACAACATTTGTTGTAATTTTTCTTTACAAAATATTTTGTAAACTTGCCAAAGGCCAATCGCTTGTGGATCCATTCCAAGTCATCACCAAGTGCTTCTAAATTTACAAGTACAAATTGTAATTTTACGACGACACACATGGAAATTTTTCCCGTAACCCTAGGACTATTTTTCAGTGTTAAAGCAGTTTTTGAAGTCGGTAAGCGGGTCATTTCTGGACCTTCCGGATTTGGAGATTTCGTAGGATGAGGTCAGATACTGCAATCACCGCTCTGGCTCTACCATACCTGCTGTGGGCAGCCCCAGGTGATGATCATCTTGGTGCGATGCATGTTGGCGAGCAGGTCGAGGACGCCGCAGACGGCCGCCTCGAAGGAGCCCACCACGGCGCGCGTCGAGCCGGCGGACAGCGCGGACAGCAGCGCGGACAGTTCCTGCTCGCCGCACAGCTCTGGAAACCATTGAGAAAACGGCATGAGGTCGTACAGTACAGCGGCAGAGTGGAGATGCTGGGAAAGGGGAACGGGGGAGCACGGCGTGGAGACCCATCCCAGGGGCGCAGTACGTCAAAAAAGAATCGAGATGGCTGAGGGCCGATATGCGCCGCTGTAGCGGACGAGTAGGGCGGGGTGGGGGCGCGCGGAGTGGCGCGGCGAGGCTGAGAGAAAAGAAAATGGGTTAGGGAAAAGAGGGCATTAGGTAATGGGGCGGGGGCCGAGCCGGATCAGGCGCAGATAAGGACATGGCTGGCCCGGCCCCCGCCGCCTCCGCCGCCCGCGCCCGCCCGGCCCGCCGGAGCTAGTGAAAGAAAGGGGGTCGCTCCCATACGCTTTAGGAATCCCAAAATGGAATTCCGCTGTGAGGCGGGCGGGGCGGCGGCCGCTCGCTGGGCGGCGTGGCCGGGCCGGGCCGGCCACCACGCCGAGCACGGTCGAGCCGCCAATATATATATATATCTCTTATAGTTTGTCATACTTTCTCATAACGCCTTATGGTCAGGACCCCGTTTGATGGCTCCATCATCAGAAGCAGGAGGCCGATTGCAGGACGATGTGAATGGTCCAAGTGGGAGTAGGGGGAGAGCAGAATCGAGAGAGAGAGCGAGAGAGAGAGAGAGCGAGAGAGAGAGAAAGTGAGGTCACCTGCAGGCCTGCCCTGCCAGGCTCCATCCGCCTCCCCAGCCTCCCCACACCCGACCGTGACTCGCCACCACACAATCAAGCCAGCCAGTCGCCTGGGAGCGGAATCCGAATGATGCGCGAGGAGCCCTGCTCTCTTTTTTTTCCTTCTTCCTCTTCCAATTCGACTCTCGACATGATAAAAAATAGATGCGAAAGAAAATATATGAGATGCAGAAGTCGCACGCTGACGACGGCGCGGCTTGGCGTTGAGGACGTGTTAAACAAACATCGTAAAACCCCCGGCGAGACACTATAAAATTCATAGAGTTGTGCTGGACCAGGAGAAAGGAATGGGAGCAGGCGGGTGTGATGGCGGTGACGAGGGGGGTGACGGGGGTGACGAGGGGAGTGACGAGGGGGATGACGAGGGAGGCGGCCGGCCGGGCTGAGGAGGACGCCGCGCGGTGAATGGATGGCTGTGAGTCAACGAGAATGAGGCCCAATCACTCCATCCATTTAGCCGCACAGTGTCCGGCCCAGCGGGCGGGCCGTGCCGCCGGGGCCGGCCAGTCGTCGCCACCCCTGCCGTTTGTTGTCTTATCGGAAAACTATGAATTTCGTTTTGGTGCGACGGGCGATATCACTTTATGAAATGGAATGCAAACTGTCTCGCGACTGCATGATGGCCCCCTGATGCAAATGTGGCCGTGCCGCCGCCAACCCCCTCCGCGGCAGACCGATATCCAATACCTCATTTTGTGAGCGATTTCCCCGCCCCCGCCCGCCGGAGGAGCCCACCTGGGGCGTAAGGAATACGGGCCTGCGGCGGCCGTTCCCGCGCCAGCGGCCCCCCTCCGAGCCCTTCCCTTCCCTCGTGTCGGGACGAAGGGGTAACATTTGCGGTTTTAATTTCCAGTATTTTCGCGCCGCAGAGTGACGCTGCTGGGATGCGGGCCGCCTCCGTGTAATTACAGAGGTAACAAACGCGCGGCACATCGCGCCTGCACCGCGCATGAGGCCTCATCATGTGGAGTGGGTGGCGGGGTCCAATATAACGGGACGGGAGCTGGGAAGGGTTGCGCGGGCCAGAGGGAGGGGAGGAAGAGGAAGTGAGAGTGGAGAGAGTGAGGCCGGGGTGGCCTGGGGGTGGGGCAGCAGCGGCAGCAAGAGGATGGGGGCGAAATAGAAAGAAAGGAGGAGGAAGGCCAGAGAGAAAGAGTTGAGAATGCGACTAGAGGGAGGGGAGGGTTGGCTCGGAAAGCAGTTGAGCGTGGGGAGAGGGCCTCTCTCTGCTCAGCTCTGCTCCTCTTCCATTCGAAGGCTCTGTGTGGGGCATATTTCTGCCTTAATGGTGCCGGGCAGGGACGGAGCAGGGCGGGGAGGCCAGTCCCGGGACCACGCCGCGGGGCAGGAGGCCGCGCTGCGCTCAGCGCCCACCCCGAGCCCCGAGCCCACCCCCTGCTACCCTGGTCGACCCCCCGCCCTCCCTCTCCCCCACCCGTCCCCTGCCATCCCGGCTCCGCCGCCGTCGTTCTACCGCCTCGTGCCCCATGCCCAGCACTGCTTTCGCCTCTGACACATTCCTGTTTCAATGCTGGATCTTTACCTAATCATCTCTGCACTTAGAAAACGGTTTCAGCTCAAATAATAAAACTGGCGCACGCTGATTTTTAAAAAAAATGCATTTCTCTTTTGGTGTTGATTTAATGATAGATTCATACAGCACAGTTAATGTGATTGGGTTGATTCTGGCATTTCTGAATGGATAAATCATTATTGAGCTTGCGTCGAGAGGGTAAGTAGGTTTGAATAAGTAAATCTTCTTTTGTCTCACTTTTTATTCTCTCCCTCTCCCTCTCTCTCGCCATTCTGCTCGGACCCTTGGTCTTGGTAGATGCGAATTTTAACAGAGAAAATTTGAACTTGTGTCAGCATGAGCTTGGTAAAGAAACCATTTTTCTGGCCCGTTCTATGCGACACTCTGATCTGCGACCGTCCCCCTTTTCCCATCCCTCCCCGCCTTTCCCTTTCCTTGTTTTTCGTCCCAAAATACGGCGTCGCGCGAGACTTTTTGCGAACGGTTTGCGACGAGACGGGCGCAGGGCTCGCAGCCGGAAGGAGTCGGCAGACGGTGGCTGAATCACGGTCAGAAAAACTGTGCCGACTCCGGCGCGAAAAAAGAACAAACAGACCGACTAACACAAATGGAACACACATAATCCAGAGTAAAATAAAAAACAAGGTCGAATGAAATAAGGAAGGGGGGCGAGGGGGTGATGGAGGAGGGGGTGAGAAAATGGCAGGGCAGTGGCTGCGGCTGCCACCGGCTCAACTCGGTTCGTCCGACTGCACCCGTACCCGGATTACGTACCGCCACCGCGAGAGGGCACCGGTGCGGAAGCGCAAAACACCCACCTGCTCTCGGCACGAACTTGACGCGCAGCTGCTGGCCCCGGGCGCGCTCCTCGACCAGCCGGCGCAGCGCGGCCATGTCCAGGGACGGCTGGTCGCACTGCTCCTTGACGAACACCACCATGTCGGTCTGCGGCGGTGCGGGCGGTGCGGGTGGCGCCCCCGCGCGGCAGCGCCCGACCACGGCCAGGAGGGCGACGAGCAGCAGCAGCAGCCACGGCGCAGGGCCTGCCGCCCGGCCTGCCGCTGCACACCGGGCTGCTGCGGCGGCCGGGGCGGCTGCCATGGGCCCAGCGCGGCCGTCACGGGCGCCGTCCGGGGCGAGGGGGCCCGGCAGGGGCCGTCAGGGGCCCGGGCCCCGCCGTCGCCGCCGTCCCGGGGACCCCGGAGGCATGGCGGCGCCGTCCCGGACTAAGGGCCCCGCGCAGGGCAGCCTTGGCGACGCCCTGGAAAAAGGCAAATGAAACAAAAACTCATTAGCACTGCCGTCACTGCACACCACACATACTCTGTAAAAAGTATGTTGGGAGATGTACATTATTTTATTGTTATTTACTATTTATCAAATTGCAGACGTACAACATTCGACAACATCGCACTCTTGCTCGTCAATCGATTTCACTTCGATACGCAGTACTTGTAAATTTACAATTTTCAATTTACGACACCTTGCATGTACATTTTTTCTGTACCCTCTGTTCAACAGGGGCACCGGAAGGCAGAGAAGAGAGCGCCTGCGAAGTCCAGGGTAGGCAGACCCGCACAGCTTGCGTGCCTCGCGGGCCGGCCTACTCGGGCGCCTGCTGGTCCCCAGGCGCGCGTGGCGGCCAGAGGATTGAGCTTGGGAGAGTGCGAGTGGTGATGCCGCAATTTCAAATTGCACTCTTTGTACATAGTTTCCTACCCATCGGGGTCCTCACTAGTTGAATGGTCCAAGAAATCGACCCACCTGAGGGAAAGGGAGGGGGGGGGGAGGGGTCGTCCTGACCTGCATGACCTCTACTTCCTGGCTGCGCGCCCAATGAGTTCACCTCGGCGCGCCGCGAGGTGAGGTGGGGCACCGGTGGTGACAGTGAGACTCGTTGATTCTCGGGAGGGGCGCGCATCAGGTGGCCTTATCTCGGCTTACCGAGGACTTGGCCGGGGCCGGGGCCAGGGCCAGGGCCCGCGCCGGGCCCCGCGACAGCTTCAATCCGTCAGAGCTGGCGGCCGCCACCACGGCAGCGCGGGGCGGGGCGGCCGCTGCTGCAACAAGCGACGGCAGTGGGACCATTAGCCGGGCCTGGCCGGGCCGGGCAAGGGCGCCGCGCGGATGGAGCACATATTAACAAATAGCCAGCGGCCGTGGCGGCGGCGTCAGCGCGCAGCGCATGTAGAGCAAACCACCAAACGACACGCAACTATTGCAATCGCATCCACGAATAAACTACCCCCCTCCTCTCCACTCCATATACACTCACCAGGGGCTCGCAACGCAGTGCTGAGGCCGGGGCCCATGCGCGAGCCCCGGAAGTCGCCGCCCGGACGGCGCGAACCGGCCGTTCAAACCGCCGCTCAGTGCTCCTCACTGTAGATTTGCTATTTTTAAAATACTTTGCCATGCAAGAATCATTTCAGAAAGTGTATA